GCATACCCGGCATGTCTGAAGGGAAAACATCAGGAAACTCACAAACAACGGGCACAGAATTAATAGAGGGAACCTCAACACTAGAATCACGAACATAGGCTAAATAGGCCAAAAACCCCTTCTCGACCATACGCCGAGCCTTCACATACGATATAACACTGCGGGTAGAATGACCAGGAGTCCCCCTCCACTCTAAACAAGGCATACCCGGTAAAGCTAAGGTCACAGTCTTGGCATGACAATCCAAGATAGCGTGATAGGGTGATAACCAGTCCATCCCCAATATAATATCGAAGTCAACCATGTTTAAAAGCAACAAATCTACACGAGTCTTAAGACCCCCAATCACCACAATACAAGAACGATGGACTTGATCGACCACAATAGAATCACCCACCGGTGTAGACACATAAACAGGAACACTCAATGCATCACTAGGCATGACCAAGTACGGGGCAAAATAAGATGACACATACGAATACGTAGACCCCGGATCAAATAACACGGAAGCATCTCTATCACAAACCAGAACCGTACCTGTAATTACTGCATCTGAAGCCTCAGCCTCGGGCCTGGCCTGAAGAGCATAACATCGGGGCTGGGCCCCGCCACTCTGATCTACCTCTCTGGGACGGCCTGCAGCTGGCTTGCCTCCACCCCTAGCTGCTTGAGCTCCACCTCTAGTACCTCTACCCCCACCTCTAGCTGGCTGGGCGGGCCGTGGAACACCTGGTGCCTGAACCATGGCACGGGAACCCTGATGCTGAGAGCTACTCGGTGCTCGAGGGCAAAACCTAGCAATGTGACCTGTGTCACCACAAGTGTAACAAGTCCTCGGCTGCTGAGACTGCTGACTCGGTCGACCTGAATGACCACCCCGGAAACTCTGAAGCGGCGGTGCACTTATAGGAGCTTGCGGTGCACTTTAGGGCTGCTGATCAGAATAGTGCGTGTGAGAACCACGGCCACCTGAAGCACCGTGAGAAACCTGGAGTGCTGACTGAAAGGGCCTAGGAGGATGACCCCTATCATACGAATCTCTGCCTCCAGACGAGGCACCACTGAATCTGCCTAACTAACGGGGTCTCTTGTCTGCCCTATGACCACCCCCTGTGATAATACCATCTCAACCCTCCGGACCACATTGGCCGCCTCCTGTAAGGATATCTCACTCCCAGCCTCTCTGGCCATCTGAAGACGAATCGGGTGGATGAGTCCATCAATAAACCGTCTCTCTCTCCTCTCAGTGGGAAGTATAATAAGAGCATGGCGAGCCAAATCAATGAACCTGGTCTCGTACTGGGTGACTGCCATGGATCCCTGCTGGAGACGCTCGAACTGCCTCCGCTAGGCCTCGGGGTCGTGATGGCGCCTACTCGTAGAAGCTAGGCAAGCCACACATCATAAACTCCCAAACTCTTTTTATTTTAAATCCTTTTATCAATCATGACAGCAAGCGTTAAGTATTTAAATAACAGTAGAATATGAAATAAAAGCGGAAGACTTAAATTAAATAAGCTGAACAATAATGCGGAATTCAACATGTGCCTCTACCCAAGAACTGGTGTCACAACATTCACGGACTACTAAGAGTACTAAATACAACCGTTTGAAAGAAATATAACACTGTTTGTCTCGAATACATGAGATAACAGAATGAATTATAAGATAGAGGAGACGCCGGGCCTGCGGACGCCTGCAAGGCTACCTCGGTGTCTCGGTGGACTGAAGGCTGGCTCCCGAGCTACTGCAGCTGTCCGGTACCTGGATCTGTGCAAAAGAGCACAGAGTGTAGTATCAGCACAACCGATCCCATGTGCTGGTAAGTGCCTAGCCTAACCTCGGCGAAGTAGTGACGAGGCTAGACCAGACTACCACATAAACCTGTGCAGTTATATATATACAGCGGAACAGAGATACAGAGATAACCAATCAATATGGGAGGGGGAGCATGCTGTGGGGAAAGATAACAACACCGAGTAAAAGTCATCAAGTAACGAAAGAAGCAACATAACTCAGAAATCAATAAATGCACGGCATCACCCTTCGTGCTTTTACTCTCGTCCTCACCAAGCAATGATATAATAGAAACGTGCACGGCATCACCCTTCATGCTTTTACTCTCTTTCCTCACCAAAGCAATTATATGATAAAATGTGCACGACATCACCCTTCGTGCTTTTACTCTCTTTCCTCACATATAATCAATAGAATCGGCACGGAATGGTACATCGTGCGGCACGACATCACCCTTCGTGCTTTACACTCTTTTCTCACAATAACAAACAATGCACGGCATCACCCTTCGTGCTTTAACACTCTTCCTCATCCAAACAACAATCACAAACAAGGGGCAAGGGAATAAGCAAAATAATAAAAGAAATCCCGCCAAGGGAACACAATTAACCAATTAAATCCCAGCAAGGGTACAACATTAACAATCTCCACAAAGCAACAATATCCCGCAAGGGAATAATTTAATAACTCTTTCTCTTTCTTTCACTTTTATTTCATCACTCACTTTACCACTTGAGCCAATGCTCCAAAGGGTTCAATCATCTCATATACTTTCACAATTCATCATATAACTCGAGCCTCTGCTCCATGATGTTCAAAGGTCTCAATTCCTTCCACAAACTTTTCACAACAACTAGAAATCATCACCAAAGCATGAAGAATACAATGAAATCAAGATATTCACAATAGAAGGACTCACGGTCATACTAGACACCAACGTATAGATACTCGTCACCATGCCTATACGTCGTACACGGCTAATACCACATAACAAATAGGACTCAACTCCTAGTCCCTCAAGCTAAGGTTAGACCAAACACTTACCTCGATGCCTTGAACACAACTCAAGTCTCAATTATAGCTTTACCCCTTGATTCCACCGCCGATTCGCTCGTATCTAATCACAAATTACTTAATTACATCAATAAACGCTAAATGAATCAACCCCAATGCATGAAAATGAGTTTTCCAAAGTTTTACCCAAAAAGTCAAAAATCGCCCCCCGGGCCCACGTGGTCAAAACCCGAGGTTCGAACCTAAACCCGATTACCCATTCCCCCAAGAACTCAAATATACAATTTATTTTGAAATCGGACCTCAATCGAGGTCAAATCCCCCAATTTTTTTTTGAAAAACCTAGGTCCTACCCAAAGCACCCAATTTCCCCATGAAAATTGTTGATTTTAAGTTGAAATCATGTTAAAAGGTGTTAAGGATTGAAGAAAACTAGTTAGAAACAACTTGCAATTGATTTGGAGAAAAAAGGTTGTTTGAAAAATCGCCTCTTATGTTTTAGGGTTTTGAAAAATGAAAAATAGCTGAGAATCCCGTCTATTTATACCCCTGTCGGACCCCCTGTGCGGACCGCACAAAATGGACTGCGGCCGCGCAGGCCTGTGAACCTGAGGGCCTGTGACACTGTGTGGACCGCACAAAATGGAGTGCGGCCGCACTGCACCCACCGCGCCCGCACAATAGCGACCGCGGACCGCACTGCCCCCCTCCTCCGCTCACCGCACAAAGGCGTCCGCGGACCGCGCTGGAGGGTTCAGAGAACTGAGATTGCTCTGAACCTGCAATATCTGTGTTTTTAAGCCTAAGACCTTCCGGAACTTACCCGAAACTCCCCCGAGCCCTCGGGGCCCCTAACCAAACATGCGCACAACCTCAAAAACATCCTACGGACTTATTCGCGCGATCAAATCGCCAAACTAACATCATAAATATCAAATTAAACCTCAAAAATTCAAGAATTCTTTCAAACTTCATAAAACATCAAATTTTTCATTTTGGGTCCGAATTACGTCAAACGACGTCCGTTTTCAACCAAATTTCACAGGAATGATTTAAACTATATATAAGACCTGTAACGGGCGCCGGAACCAAAATACGGGCCCGATACCAACACGTTCTAATCAATTTTCATTTCAAATTTCCTTAAACAATTTCAGAAAATAATTATTTCAAAAAAATTCATTTCTCGGGCTTGGGACCTCGGAATTCGATTCCGGGCATACGCCCAAGTCCCATATTTTCCTACGGACCCTCCGGGACCGTCAAATCACGGGTCCGGGTCCGTTCACCCAAAACGTTGACCAAGGTCAAATTTATTCATTTTAACGTCAAAACTTAGCATTTTTCACAAAATTTCATATTTAAGCTTTCCAGCTACGCGCCCGGGCTGCACACTCATATCGAGGCGACTCTAAATGAGGTTTTTATAGGCCTCGGGGACACAGAATTCAATTAAAAACAGGTGATGACCCTTTGGGTCGTCACAAATCCCCTCCTTTATTAACAAAAGTTCTCATACCAATAAAAAAGAAAAAGAAAAAAAGAACCACATAAGTTCTCATCTAAAGTTTATCATTTGAAAAAAAGATCGACCAGTTTTTATTTGTTTGGTTTCTCGAAGAAGTAATGTACTTTCAGTAAATAACAAATATTTTGATCGATACAAGAGTTGGACTACTTTTTGGGAGTTTTATCTGCCCTTGAAAGTTGGAGCTTCCTTCATATGCTTGAAGCAAGCAATACTAATGCAGGGTATTGAATCAAAATTTGAGTTGCTAGTACTACAAGTTTCTAATAACCAAACCGGCAGTTAATTGATTTGAAACCATGTCTTGCACTTCTACTGTACCATGTTGGTGTAATAGAGATTAATTAATGTGTTTATGTTTGACTTGAGCTAAATATGCCTAATTTAGTAGTATAAGCGTCACTGAGCTCTAGTTTATGGGAATGAACCCACTCTCAACTTTTCATGATATGTTCTTGTCATTGTCCTAGAAATATACCTTGAATGCTTGGGTTCTTATACTTACATTATCAAAAGAAAAAGAAAAAAAGGAAAAAGCTTGGCTTATTGATTTGCGACATTACCATTCTTTTCTGAAGGTGGTATATATATTCTTAAATATCCTTAAGCATCTTATTGCAGTTCATGCATGTGCTTTATCAAAAGGTTTTGTGTTTAACAGAGGATGGAAAGAGTGGCACTTTTGTCATAGGCGATGAGCACTTTCCTGCATCACTGTTGAATCTTCCTTGCATAGTGGAGTCATACAAAACTTATGATGACAGCGTGCTGATTAAAACAGCAGATGTTGGTCAAGTAGGGTTGTGGTTAATTTTTCCTTTTTCCTTCAGTTCTATGAATATGGTTTCGATTGTCATCACTTTCCTAAAATGTAAATTTTGTTGGTTTGGCAGATAATTATGGTGAGAGAAGAAGGTGATCCTGCTCCAGATGTGGTGGAATATAGACATGGCCTCACACCTCCAATGAGAGATGCTCGAAGGCGAAGATTTAGGAGAGAACCAGATCTTAATGTAACATGTCCTACTTTTCTAAAAAGGCCTCTCATTTAATTACTTTCTAATCCGTCCTGGCAGAGAGAATGTTGGGTTGCCTCTACTGTGTGTGGAATGCGGTTAACATTATTGACATTTTTGGGAGGGTTGGGGGAAATCTGTTAGCTATATAGTGGAGCTCTCCGTGTCCCTTGGCCCACCCTCCCTTTTCTAGTTTAATACCTCATGTTTTTCTTGTTGAGTTCTTGAACTAACAACGTGTTTGTTATATGTTTTGCAGCCTGAGCTTGTTCGGCGCGTTGAGAGAGATCTGCAGAACATACTGGCGGGTGGAACAGCTGAGAATATTGATATCCTCTCATTTTTGTTCTCTATTAGTTTTAAAAAAGAACACCACTTGGCCACTGTACACGAACGGAAGTAGTCAAATAGACTTATTTAAGGTCATAATGGGCTCTATTCTGGCAGTATATAGTGACATAACTAGAATAGCTTGAGAACCATGAGCTCCGATGAATCCTGTTTGTGCTGTGGTTAATTGACATTTATCAAGCTTGTAGACCACAATTAGTTGGACAACTTCTGCCTTTGAAAAAACTTGTAAATTTATGTCTATCCATGTACCAGGAAGAGGTTTGAGGTAATGTCAGGGGAAATTTAGTGCTTTGAGCTTTCAGAAAATTTTCTGAGGTTCTGGGTGCATATGCCCTTGAACTCAAGGACAAGTTTATGTGTTGTAAGTATATATCAGAACTTCAATATCATTACAGAGGACTTGCTAGGCTTCATCTTTCTCATTTCTATTACTCCTTAACTAATTGATTACATATAGAAGTTGCTGAGCAAGAGGAAGGAGGTGAAGCAAGTGCACGCCATGTGAATAAGAAAGTGGCACAACCTGCAACAAAGCCTGACATTACCGAACCTGGGACTGCAGGTGAGGATCTTGATAGAACTGAATCTGAAGATTCTGATGATTCAATATAGCCGAGGACATTTTTCAGCAAACAAAGATTAGTTAGCTACAAAAGTTGTTTTTGGCAAGTGGCTACCAAGGCTCCGTCACTGATATAGTCTACTTCATGGTTAATGGCCTTTGTAACTTGATAGAAGTTTTAGCTCTTGCATTTCAGTACAGTTTGCTTGTTGATCCTATGCTTTTGAACGTCACTGTTGTATAACAGTTTGCAATGTCTACTCGAGAGATATGAGACGATTGCAAATTAATTTTGTACAATGATGGTCTGTCTCCTGTTAAATATATTGAATTTGCTTATTTTTTCTTAAGGAAATGTTTATTGCAAAGTCTATAGCTTCGATATCCTGAGAGACTGGAGTAGGAAAGCATTGCCACCTTGATGTGAACTAGAATAGAATTATCAAGGCGTGATCAATAGAATTTTAGATCACCTTCTTGTGAGGATGTTTTTTTTCTTCCTCCCTTGTGAGGACGTTAGAGGCAGAATTGTTACAATTAGTGTTGATTTAGCCATGACCTATATCTGTATGTTTTGAGTTGTATATCTTCACTCGAATGCAGTAGGTGAAACTGTCTATGCCTAGTTATGATGCCTAATTTGTGTTAGATTTGACGTGGTGGTGACAGAGTTGTAATTTTTAAACAGTGGAATCATAAGTCTGTATTTTTCAGTATATATTATAAAAATTATATATAAATTCTTATAAAATGTATAAATAACTATCACATTGTTTAAATTTTGTATACAAAGTGTATCCTCTATATTAACTGTATCCCTAATGTATCATTAGTGTATATTCATTGTATAATAACAGTCTGCTTTGTATATATTTTGTGTAGTGACAATTATAAAATGTATAAAAATTGTGTATATACAATTACATTGTATAAATTTTGTATATAAAGTGTATCCTCTAAATTTTAGTGTATATTCATTGTATAGTAACAGTCTGTTTTATATATATTTTGTATAGTGACGGTCTATTTTGTATAGTGACAGTCTATTTAGTATATTTTTGTATAGTGACAGCCTATTTTGTATATATTTTGTATAGTGATATTATATTTTGTATATTTTTCATATAGTGAGAGTCTATTGTATATAAATTGTATAATGACCGTCTATTATTATATAATTTTTGTTTCAATACTAATAATTCACTACTAAACCAACCCTATATTTTGTATAGTAACAATCTATTTAGTATATTTTTTTGTACAGTCTATTGTATATATTTCCCTATACAAATTTGTGTTTCAATACTACTAAGAACCAAATTTTTTGGTTTCATTACTACTATTCACTTGGTTTATTTCAAAAAGACTGAATTTTATAGGCTAAAGAGAAAATTAAATATGCAAGATCCATCAATTGGTGCCGCTTCTCGTAAGAACACAAAACATTCTTCTTCATCCAATAAGAAAATTTCCTCCTCAACGACGCCATCTTAAGTTTCATCTTTAAAACCTGATCAGATAACAAAACTAAAACCAGAGCCATTTGGTATACCTGAAATTCCAACTTTTGATCAGAACAATAGTAGAGTGATTAGTATGACTAATGGGCAATTCGGTTCGCTGTTGGAGTCAAAGGGGCCGTAATTTGGGACTTTGCTGGAAGCTTTGAATAGGGATAATAATGGGTCCAATTTGCAGTAAGGTGAATTTGCAAAGCAAACAAAATACCAATTCGGGTTCCGGTTCGGGCTCAAACGGTACCCGTTAAAACGGGAGCAATACAAATGGATATTTGGGACAGCAGCGGCCATGTGTTAAGAGGAAACGATTCCAACCTCCACCTGTAAACCAAACAAAGTGAAAAACCCAGTGCAAACATAAGGATAAAAATACGTATGACCGAAAATACACAGAAAATCCGAGGGAAGACGTTAAATAAATAAAAAAGAGAAGAGTACAAAGATAGGAATGTAAGCTTTGGCGTGAAGATGAAAAAGCGTATGATAGCTGAGGGAGAAGGAAATCAGGGTTTTGAGTGGCAGTGGTCTTGGGGTAGCCTTTTAATTAGTTTTGGGCTGTTAATTGTATGGGGTTATTTTATGGCTATCAGGTGATATAAGTTTGGCCCTAATGGCTACAAATGAACTTTGCTCGAAAACTAACAAGTAGAACCCAAAGCTCGAAACGCAACAATCACCAACTTATTTCTAACCAACGAGCACGTGATTTCAGTTCTCTCCCTCCCCAAAGAGAATAGAAGGCTAGAAGTGCGGGGATTCAATATCCAGGAATGATAGCGGCGCGTCAGTGGCATATCTTCCCGCCAATGGATTCCAGGTACCAAGAGGTCTAGGAAGAGTTAGAGATGATGTGATGTCTCACTTTATAAATAGACATGTATAAGTCGCAAGCTGTATGGTAACGCGACATAATTTTAGGAAGACAGGAGTAAGGATAAGAAAGGGCGTCTGAGAAGGGGACGAGAAATGGATAAGTCCTTGGTAGGAAAACAAGAGAGCTAATGGTTTCTCTAAGTTATAGAAAGCTAAGTATAGCATGAATGAACTTAAAGGGGTCTAAGACTAGTAGCATTTAGAAGAGATGAAATTATGCCCTGGTAGTGGAATGAGAAGGATGATGTTTGGCCTTCGACTGAGTAATGATTTAATGAATTATACAGGATTAAAAATCCCAAGGAAGGTGAATCACATTGTATCACCCACAGGTGGATCAGTTTAATCATTTAAGATGTTCCCCGATGAGACGGAGCACTAGCGGCAGTGTTACATAAGAGGTCAAGTTATCAGTGGTTGATTATATGATAACAGCACGATAGGGGATTCAAGAATTACAAAGAGAAACAAGAAAACCAAGAAACGCGCGGAAGCTAAAAGAAAATAAAGAAACAAGAAGTCTTCAAGCTGAATCCTAACAACAAAAATTAGATACCTCCGTAGGGGCAATTTTGTCCGATAAATTTAGCTGGGTATAAATAGATCTTTTTGTCATTTTTAGGTTAAGTTTGGTGCACCTCAGAACACATAGTTGTTTTTTCTTTACTGTATTGGGTAACTTTGTAATAGTTTAACATTTCAACGTTAGATTTTCTTCCCTTGATCATCTAATTTTATCTTAATTTCTGCATTTCCATGAGTAGCTAATCTCATAGCTAGGGTTGTGACCCAACCCTAGTATGGGTACTTAATGGTTGATTGATTTAGAGCTTATTTATGATTGGGTATATGATAATTAGCCTAGTTCTTGCTTGAATTTGAGAATTGATGGTTGCAAACATTGATTCATGCCTAATTGACTTAGTCTCTAATTGAGAAGAGAGACTAAGTCTAGGAAAACTTGGCCAACAAGAAATTGGGGTGAACTCAAAAAATTGATAGCCCCAATTAAAGGGTCGAATCTAGAGAAAGTAAGACCCGACTTGAGCATATATCACTTGTTTCGTGAAATAGCCATTTGGACTTTTATAACTCAATCCGTTAGATAACCATATGCGGAAGTTACAACCCTAGATCTTTTATAACCTGAAAAACAACAATACATAGCTTTACAATTACAAGCAAGCATGCAAATTAGAAGTAGCAAAGAAACAACTGAATACTTGGGCACATCATACACTAGACTAGGTATATCTAATCCCACATAAAGCTCTTTGGTTAACGTCAACCTTTGGCGCCGTTGCCGGGGAGCTTAAAACGGATTTAGTTATATATTTGGTTTTTTGTGTGATTTGTCTTCTTTTCCTTCCGGTTACTAATCTCTTTGTGAAACAATTGTAGGTGATATAATGGCTCTACACAACAATGATATTCTTGGAAACGTGCATTGGGGGAGGACATGGATGATGATTAAGTTGATGAGGTTCCTATTGAACCTCAAGCAAATAGACGAGGCTGCCCGTCTCATGATAATGTTCCCGTTCCGCACTCACCTCCTCCAAGAGCGGCGGCACTGGGTGTTTCCAAATGAAGGATATGCAAGTGCCATAGTCCCACACAAGAACCCAACGAGCCTTTACACAGATGGGAGAGGTACCGAACAATGGTCAGAGAGTGCCCCAACAATGATATGACTGAGGCTATGACTCAACAAACCTTCTATAAGGGGATAAACAATACAAATCAATCCATGGTCAACCAACTTGGAGGTGGAAATTTCATGTCAACGCCATATGCAAAAGTTGTGATATCTTAGACGAAACGGCGGACACTTCATCGGCATGGCAAAGTCGAGCTAACGTGCCTCAGGGTGATCCAATGTGATTCACCTCCACAAAGAGTTACATGATCATGTGCAAGCAATTGCCGAATTGACTGCCACAATGAATCAATTGGCCAAAGCTCAACTACAACAACTGCAAGGTCCGATGCAAGTAAATGGAATGGTGGAAGTTATTTTCGTGGTGAACAAGAGGAGGCAAAGGGGTCCTCAAGTGCCAAACCATGTTGAAAATTATGAGCAAGATGATAGTGGATTTGATCAAGATCGACAATACAATGAGCGAGAGGAGGAAGTAAAATATGTGATCAACTTCCAAGGGCAAAGAAACAACAATCAAGGCCCAAGTCAACAACAATGGCGACCACAAGGAAATAAAGGAAGTTGGAATTCAAGCAATCAAGGTGGTTGGAACAATCAAAACAACAAGGGAATTGGAACAATCAAGGCAATCGACGAAATTAGAATGGTCAAAATAACGAAGGAAATTGGAATGGTCAAAATAACCAAGGCAATTGGAGTGGCAATAATCAAGGCAATTGGGGAAGTAACAACCAAGGAGGGTGGTGTTTCAACAACCAAACAATCCACCTCTCTATCCTTCTCAAGCTCTTCCAAAAATGAGATGGGACGAATAGAGAATATGTTTAAACAGATGATGGAGAAGAATGGCGACTCCGATACACAACTCTCACAACACTTCTTTTCGCAATTTGGAAGTTCAATGAAGCCAACTTTCGCAAGCTTTGAACACTCATCCTAAGGGGGCACTACCAAGTGATACGGTGGTGAACCCAAAGGGTGGGAATAATACGGGGCATGCTACCGTTACAACAAGAAGTGGAAAAGGTGGAGATGCAACTGCCTCCAATCAATGAAGAGTTGGGGATGATGATGTAGTGGTGCAACAAGATGACATTCCAAGCAATGTGGTTTAAGCAAATGAAGAAGTGAGAATTGATGTTGATGGAAACGTGGAGAAGAAACAAGAAGTTAACCCGTCCAGGGAACACATACTTGACGAAAATACGGAATAACATCTCATTACCGAGCTTACATCAATTTATTTATGGCGTACTTCCACGTACGAAAACAAGGAGTGTAACATCATTACCTC